GATGGAACAAGGCCATCCTTGTTCATTAAGTTTATCTATTCACCTTTGTCTGTACTGTGGGTAGCTATTTCTTGTTTGCAATAATATTGATCTGCTGTTTTAAGAATCTGCAAACTGATTGTCGTCTTCTTCTTTCTGGGGGAAAAAAAAAGCCAAAACACGTTAGAGTACAAAAGCATTCACTTATGAAGCCTGTTAGAAAGCAGTTAAACCAATCCTGTAAGCTAACTTGTGAAAGCAAAATATTCCATGTATGGTTTTTATTTTTATGTAAGGTGCTCAGCATAATTGAGTACATGATTTTTTTTCCATTTCTCATTGAATATAGGCAATGCATTTTGGTGCATTTAAAGAAAACAGAGATTTATTAAAATAATATTTTAGTCACCAAGCATATTCAGAAATTGAAGGATAAAACAATTAAATTCAAGCTAAATATTGCAACAATTTCAACTAAATTAAATTTTTTTTGCTTCATTTTTTTCTTCTTCTTTTTAAGCTTGTATTTAATATTTTTCTATAACATATATAAATTTGGATGTACTAGTTTTTGGACTGATGTGGTAAGGTATTTTGTTAGATAAGCTCCAGATTTTGCTTCAGTGGTGACTAATCTAAAGTATATGCACAAATATAATATTGTAAATCTTCCTATTAAAAATCTGAATTTAAAAAGATGGATTTGTAAGGGTTTTACATGTATATGCTGAGAACTGTAAATAAATTTAAGATGCGTCATGTACTAATATGCAAACTAGGGCGTAATTGTCCTGAAAATGTCCACAAAAAAGACTGTAACAATAAATGAAGCAATAATATTGAATGAAGCCTGAGCAAAACATTTGTGGAGTTTTGAGCAAAACTGCTGTGTTTTGTTCCTGAATCATTCAGTTTTTGAATGAATCATTTGAGTTTATAATTCAGTGAATCATTAAGACTGCCGAATTCTTGTCGCCAACTTCTGGTGGTAAGTGATAAATTTTGTGTAACCGGTTCTGCATTGTGGTGTTTTCCTTTTAATGTGGGAATGGCCAGACGGACATCAGCAGTCTTGACGGCTCTTTAATCCCACTCCTGATAATTCAAAGCACAGATTTTACAGTGCATCTTTGCCCTTATAACTTTTCTTTGAAAGTGCAACGCATTTACATGCTTCAATTAGACAAAATAAATGAAGTTATTAATTTACGTTTAAACATTAAAAATAATAATAAAAAAAATTTGAATAGAGGTATGAATGTTATCTTTACATAAAAATTAGCTTCAAAAAAGATTTTTAAAGTAAAATTGATAAGATTAATTGGAGCTTAGCAGACCCCCACCTCTCATATGTGCAGTCAGTGCAGAGAGGAAAGAGGCAGGTGCAAAACAGAAAAAAAAAAAAAACTTAAGCTTCCTTAGAAATTTAAAGGAGAAGGTGCAAACAATGGAAAAACACCTCGGGTATACTTAACCACTTCAGGTAAAACACGCACATTGTGTAATTCTATAAATAAAGTGAACCATACTTTCCATATTTGTTTCAAAAGATACACAAAAACACATTCATCCAAATTTCTTTTGGTAATTGATATGAAAATATCAATGTAAAATTCTGAATATAAAATTTACAATAGAATTCATAATATTGCTAAATGTATTTGAGTTTTCCCTCATATGGTATAATAATGTTTTGTAATGCCTAAAGTCATTTGTAGCATTTAAAACAACTAATTTTAGTTTTAATTATTTTCCTTTTAATTTGTTTGTAAAAAAAATACAAATGTTTGTTATGTTTCTATAAAATGTTTTGTGTTGGTTTATTAGTATTAAGACACCTTTTTATTAGTATTTTCAATTTTATTTGTGCATTTATTTGTGATCAAAGCATATTTATATTTGCAAATATTATATTTAACCATGATAATTTCATCTTTTTTTTTTTTTTTTTTTTTTCAATGTGTAAACAGTCACAGCTCAACAGTATGTAGAGAATGAGTGAAGATGGCTGTTCCATATATATGAAATGAATGAACCATAAAATGTTTCTGTCGCCACAGAAGTTTAACACAGAACCAAACTGTATTTGTGCGCGGTGTGAACGCAGCCTTTGTCACTCCACTGCGTTTGTTTCTCCATCAGCAACTCGATGAATATGGGCAGATCATTCGTGCGGTTTGGCAGGGGTTGGCATTTCCGAGTTTGTTTGTGTGTGTGTGTGTGTGCGCAAAAGAGACTGAGGGAGCAAAGCTGTGTGTGGGAGTGCCAATCCAGGGCCAGTCGGTGCTTTGCAAACTGGACCTTTTTTCCATAGTTCAGTGAGGTCAGTGGGTTCATAGAGGCCGTACCCGTCCTTGAACTGCAGCAATGGCTCAGTGCTTTATGGCCACCGTCAACGCTGCGCAGATCAATGGGAGACTGAGGCCCAGAGACGGCTTGTCTGAGAGCGTGAGAGAAAAAAAAAAAGCTCAGTCAGGAAATGAAACCATACTTCATGAGCTTCCCTGAGAGAAGAATGAATGGCCTGATTTTTGGCCGCATACAGGAGATTCTTTGCTTAAATCAAGCGTACGTGTTTGAAAATGAAACTAAAGCTTGAAGTCAGTTGGATAAAGGGAGATTTTTAATGCAGTGTGAGCGGTAGAAGAGCTCGAGCATGATCAAACGCTTGTGTCCTGCGCACAGGCAGCAGATCTATCTGTACTCAATTAAAGGCAGAAGTTGAGCTGAGTGAATGAATGCTGGAGCAGTAGCAGGCCTGCGATACCTCAGGGGCGAAGAGCACATGACTCAACTCTTTTCTCTCTTTCTTATTTCAATGGCTATGGCAGTGAAAGCGATAAATAATCAGCTGTTTAAACTTAATCCAGATATTCTCTTTATCAGACATTTCACCTTCTTTCATTTTCTTTTCGACTTAGTCGCTTTATTAATCAAGGGTCTCCACAGCGGAATGAACTGCCAAATTAACTAGCATATGTTTTATGCAGCAGATGCTCTTCCATTTGCAACCCATTACTGGGAAACACCCATACACTCTCATTTACACTCATACACTACAGACAATTTAGCTTACCCAATTCAGCTATACCGCATGTCTTTGGACTGTGGGGGAAACCGCGGGAGAAAACTCGCGCGAACCCAGGGAGAACATGCAAAACAGAAAAGCCAACTGACCCAGCCGAGGCTCGAATCAGTGACCTTCTTTCTGTGAGGCGACAGCACTACCTATTGCGCCACCGCATCATATCTCATAGATACTAATATAAAAAAAACTGTAATGTAACATAACTGTTTTGGTAAAATATTTATAATAAATGCGTGAGTGTGTGTATAAGCCTATGCCTTTTAGTTATGAGGCTGTGCTTATATCAGTGGTCATGCTGTTTTCTATAAAACTTTCTTGGCAATTAATGACTAATCTACATTAAACAAAAAATATTGGAAATGAAACCTTTGTAAAAGAAACTATTTCAAACGATTTTGTATGTATTCTTGATTGTGATAATTTACAAACCTAAATGTCTTTGAGTGTAAAATGTCTTTTTTTTTAATTTTTTTTTTAAAGTTTTGTGTATTCTATTACATTTACTATTGGCTTTAGTAATCAATCGGCATAGGTATAAAGTATTTAGGCTGATTATGGTTATGATTCTTAAATAGGGATGTCCAGATCCTATCACGTGACCGGAAATCGGGCCCAATCACATGATTTCAGACTCAATCGGAATCGGACGTTATCTCTCGATCAGGACTCGAATATATATGTATATTCTCATTATTTATAAATGCAACTATATAGTTATGTGGTGGAGTTAGACCTCTTTCCTGACTTGACACAGAAACAGCAATGCGTGCAGCATGACATCACTTTGTTACAGAGACGCTATTGGCTGTTGTAGAATATGGAAGCAGTTTGAAGAGAAAAGTACAATTATGTCTGCGTTCTGGAGGTATTATAAAGTTGATGATGACACCATTGCCATAGCAAACTGTGAGACGTAAACTTGGGATTGCCTGCTGGGTATTTTAAGTTGAGGCGCTCTTTGTTTTTATATTAGATTATTATTATTATTTTTTTTAAATATATATTTAGTATTCCAAAAGTGAAGAATTTGTTATTTATTACTTGATTGTTTAAGCTACCTCACAGAAGTGCAACATGAGTTGTTAAATGTTAAAATAAGGTGAATTAAATTAAAAATAAGAAACATCCTGGATCTGTTTCTTCGCTCTTCTTTATTCTTTTTTTTATGCATCAACGGATCAGGTTTCGGTATTGGTAGACATTTAAAATCAAATGACTCGGACTTTGATTCAACGGCAAAAAAACCTGATCGAAACATCCCTATTTTTAAATGGGTGAAAATGTTTATTAATTTTGCGTTCAATATTATTTTTGTTAACTTAAATAGAGAACAGTTTCTTGTATCTGATTATTAGGGCTCTGTTTTTGATTTTTAATTCAATTAGCTTTTATATTATATTAATTCATTAATTATATATAATTCATGTCATAATTCATTTATTTTAACAGTGTTCAAGTTCAATAGTATGTAAGCTTTGCTATATAACACATTTTTAAAAATGTTTTATTATTTATTTCCAAAACAGAAAAATTGTGTATTAAGAAAAAAAATGTAGAAGAAAAAAATTGTCAACACTGGTTTAGTGGTTAGAACGTTGACACATGCACTCCGGTGCTCACGGCAACCTGAGGTCGATTCCCACCTCAAGGTCCTATGCTGATCCTTTCCCTCTCACTGCTCTGCATGCTTTACTGTTAATGTTCTCTACTGTACTATCCATTTAAAGGTAAAAACTCTGATTAAAAAATAAATAATGTTTTAACCTTTTCATGAAAAATGATTTTTAAATGATGAAGTTTTTTCTGAATTTTTTTTTTTTTTAATTCAAACCTATATCTTATTCTCCATCCTTTCTTTGTTTCTACAGAATATATCACTTCCTGATCCCTGTTGTTTGGAGAAATATCAGGGACCGACTCCGTGAAGCCACTGGCTGACCTGCAGCAGTTCTTCACTGGCAAGCTTTATGTCCTTGTGTACCAGCTAAAGCTGCCAGCTGAAGAACTGTTGTGGTTGGCTCTTTCCTGGCACATCAGCACACAAGATGGCAATACAGAGGTAACGACATTGTCAGCTCAACCCTTAATTTGCTCCAAACTGATGAGGCCTCCTCAAGCAATCCCGATCAGACGGATCCCATTTTTGTCTTTCCCTCAAGCAGCCTGCTTACGTGAGCATGGCCATTCGTTCCTCTCAGGCATAAACAAAGACTACCATACGGGGTCCATGCTGACTCAGCCACATTCCTGTCCCGGTGAGGTCCTCTTGCCCTTATTTGGGTGTAGAGCAGGCAGGGAGTGGCGCATGTGCTTTCAGTAGAGCCGACAGAGGTGGCCATCTTGCTCTTCTGCTGTAGCAAAATGTTGTACTGCCTGATGTGTTTTTAACGCACTGTAAAACCCAACAGCCAACTTTACCAAATGAAATGAGTGTAGTTAACTCAAAATGGACTTAAGGTTAACTCTACTCATTTGAAACATTTTAAACTCAGTGTTGAAGGTAGTAAGTTAATTAAATACCTCATTACTTCAACCTAAATGGAGTAAGTTCACAGTACTCGTATAGATTAGTTTTTCAACTCAAATGGTTTCCTCGAACGGTTTGAGTTGCCTTAACTTATCATGTTTTACAGTACTCAGTTGGTTTGAGTTCTCTTCATTTATTGGGTTTTACTGTGCTCAAATTGCTTCGTTTACTCAAATGGATTAAGCTCACAGTACTCATTAGCATAAGTTTTTGAACTTAAATGGTTTGTTGCTATCGGTTTCCTCAAATGGTTTGAGTTACCTTAACCTTGTGGGTTTTACACTGCACTACTGAACCGAGCATTTTCATTGACTTGATTGACTTGTATTGTGAAATTTCTGCAAATGTTAGAACAACTTATTTACCATTTATGAGTAAAAGACTAGAAAAACAAATGACAGTAAACTGCCAAACTACTTGCGCTACAGACCAATGTGCTTATGACACTACATTTCAATTAAAATGTTCTGATATACACCAGTTTGCCACAAAATCAATGGAAGTGAATGAGACTAGAAGTCTCAACACATTTAGTTTACAATGGCCTCTTCTGCATGTACGTGAAGAATAAGGTGGATGGTTACTTCCGTGTTTTCTGGAAAAGAGCCCAAGCTTTGACGTGTTTGTGTGTTAAAAGTCGCAAAGATCCTCGAGGGAGTGACTGATGAAAGACTGGAGAGCGTATGTTACTTCCTCTTTCCCTTCCGTGGCTGTTCTATGGCATAAATATGATTTGTGTGTGTACAAATCTGACCTTGGTCACATGCAGAGATCATCATGTATACACACTCTTCTTGTCGCAAGCTTACGCAAGCCGTAAACTCCTCAAGGCTGAGTTCTGCGCCTCAGAAAACAGGATATGAAAAAGCGTCTCTCCAAATCCTCCCAGCCAGATGAAAACCCAGAATATTCTAGGCATTTAGTAGAACCAGATGCCAGAATGGCTGAAATGTGCTTTCCATTTTTTACCTCCCCTATCAAACAAGCACAAGACGCAGCGTCACTGCATACCTATAGCTCTGACCTCGTCTCGAGTGCTTCCTCAGGTCATGGGCGAAGATGGCCTACGTGATCCGCTCTAATGTCAATCTCCCTGCAAGTGCATTAAAAGATTGTTGAGGGTCGTCGTCTCATCTGCTCTTACAGAAACAGCACACGCATAAGAGGCTCGCTCAGACTGTGTTGCATGAGCTCTTAGGCTGTAGATAGTACACTACGGTCAGAAGCTCCCTCTCTAACCCTCTTTAGAGTCAGGCGGTCAGGTCAACAACGACATTTAGATTAGATTACTACATAGGGCCAAATGAGCAGACTTTCACAACAGACCAAATGTGAGTTGAATGATTGATTGCACAAATAAAATGGCTTTTGGGGAACACATGCTTTTGTTATCTTTACTGGCAATGAAATGTGTGGTTTTATTGTACTGAATGAATGGATATGACTTGAGTCATGTTTTAGAAAACTTCATAAGAAGATTAACCCTCAAAAACAACACTAAAATTAAACCCTATATTATGTTGGAGCTGTTTTAAAACTAGGCCGATGACCTGCTGTTCAGAAAGGTCACTTTCGAGCCTCTTTCCCACCACTTAATACAGTGGTGCTAATTGACTTGACTTCTGATTATGGTGACGTGAGAAAGCCAACATACTGTTATACTACAGTACATACACTTAATATTCTTCTTCTGAAACTAATTTCTATATGCGTCTCCTCCTCCTAGACCACAGGTGTCAAACTCAGTTCCAAAAGGGCCGCAGCTCTGCACAGTTTAGTTCCAACCCTAATTAAACACACCTGATCAAACTAATTCAGTCCTTCAGGCTTGTTTGAAACCTACCGGTAAGTGTGTTGGAGCAGGGTTGGAACTAAACTGTGCAGGGCTTCGGCCCTCCAGGAATTGAGTTTGACACCCCTGTCCTAGACCATTCATACTACAACCACCAAACTAACACCAAACCTCCAAACTGGTCTGACTCTAGTTGCTCTATCGTTTCTAATTGATCTGACTTACGGTTGTCTAAAAAAACTGACCTGGAAAATTCACAAAAGTTAACTTAACATTGGAAACTTAACTTTCCACCAGACTGTCATACAGACTTAATGTTGGACTCATTTAACTACCAATCTGATTACCTTTCAACTTACTAGCCACACCCTAGCAACCATTTACGGTGCCTAGCAACTGTCCTATAGAATTCTGTTGTTAAAAAACTGCCATTGACTTTACATTGGACATACCAACAACATACCAGTTCATACTAGCAAACATACTAATCATAATAAGAAACATAAGCTGTGTCTCATTTTAGAGGCTGCATCCTACGAAGGATGCGGATTTTAAAGGTGTATCCTTCTAAATCATACTATAAACACACTACCAACAGGCAACTTCATACAAAATTCATGCTAACAACAAGCTAGCGACATGCTAATTCATACTATAACCATGCTAATTTATGTTAGCAACTGCCTAGCAACCACTCAGAACGCCTTAGCAACTGCCTAACAACACCTTAGCAACCACTCAGAACACTTTAGCAACCGCCAAGCAACAGCTTGGTATCCACATAAAACACCCTAGCAACCGCCTAGCAACCACTCAGAAAATCCTAGCAACGCCTTAGACGCCACCTAGCAACCACTCAGAACACCATAGCAACTACTCAAACATCCTAGCAACCACCTAGCAACACTTTTTGAAACAACCTAAGCAACTACTCAGAACACCTTAGAAACCACCTAGGACACCATAGTAATGCCTTAGCAACCGCTCCGTGGTTAACCTAGCAACAACATAACTACCTGGTACACTCGAGCAACACCTTAACAAGCGGCGAGCAACTGTTTAGAACACCTCAGCAACACTAATTGTGTGAATTAAGTGAAACACTATTAAATCTAGATTTCCATTTCATCCTGCTTCTCAAAGCATTCTTCTAGAGAACATGGTGTTGTGTGCTACAATTCCCCGAAGACGTGTAGCTGCAGTTTTTCATTATTTCTCAGCTGAAATATTTTGTGAACTGCTTGTTGAACTGGAATATTCTATGAATGTGAAATGGCTCACAGAGACCTTTTTGTTGAATTTCACTCGAAAGGGCCTCACAAGTGCAAAGTAATCCCAAATGGCAGAGGTCAGATGCCTCTCAGTTACTTTGCACCCGGGTGAAAGGTGCTCAGATCAGCCATCAGGGATCTTTCACATACTTTAGATATATTCAAACTAACAGGCTAGCAAAGGGGAAAGCGCATACAATGTCATATATAAGGATTTGCGTTTATTTATTGTAAATATAAACTATTTTTAAAAAGTTTACGTAAATGGAGTTTCCTAAATGTAGCCTGTTTTATTAATCGCACTTCATTATACTGTAATTCAACTTTAATTAAACAATGAATGCGTTTACACTACATTCACTTTCTTTTGTAAAGGCATATTTTACTCAAATTAAAATGGCCATTATTTACTCATCCAAACTTATATATATATTTATATTTATATATATATATATATATATATATATATATATATAAATATAAATAAGGAGACTCAGTGGGGAGCACGTTTGCCTCACAGCAAGAATGTCGCTGGTTCGAACCTCGGCTCAGTTGGCGTTTCTGTGTGGAGTTTGCAGGTTCTCCCTGCATTCGCGTGGGTTTCCTCCGGGTGCTCCGGTTTCCCCCACAGTCCAAAAACATGCGGTACAGGCTAAATTGTCCGCAGTGTATGAGTGTGTGTTTTTGAGTATATGTGAATGTTTCCCAGATATGGGTTGCGGCTGGAAGGGCATCCTCTGCGTAAAAACTTGCTGGATAAGTTGGTGGTTCACTCCGCTGTGGCGACCCTGGATTAATAAAGGGACTAAGCCGACAAGAAAATGAATGAATATATATATATATATATATATATATATATATATATATATATATATATATATATATATATATATATATATATATATATATATATCATAGCTCAAATTCTAAATAAAATTGTCAGAGATACTATGTTTTATATGTTATAACAGGTGTAACTGAGGTGAATTCATAATTTACTCATTATCAAAAAAGCATTATTAGCACGTCACTTCACCTAACAATTTATCTTTTTTTTTCCCGTTTATTTTGTAGATAACTCACAAACAAAAAATACATTAAAACAAAGATACAAATTATACCGATAATGCTATTTTGGGTAGATAGTGCGTTAATGACGATACTACCGTTTCCAAATCACAGCAGCACCGTCTGCTCCGTAGCCATAGTATCACGATACTACCATAGTACCGGTAAACGGTGCAACCCTACTTCAGTCACATGATCTTTCAGAAATCACTCTTACATTAATTATTACAGTCATAATTATTATAATTATTATTGTTGTTAATATTAATTGTAATTGCAATAATGACTGGACTAATAATTTCATTTGTAAATAAGTAATAAATTAATATTTAATAAATAAGTATTTAACAATTGTACAATT